TGAATCACCGGTCATGTGTTGTGTGCACCCACTATCAAGCACCCAATGCCTTTCTCTAGCTTTGTAATTGACCTACAAAAGAAGATCAATTCTTTTTAGGTACTCAAACTTGCTTGGGTCCTTGAAGGTTAGTTACTAAGCTCTTTGGCACTCAAATAGCTTTGTTCTTTGAGCCCACAAGTGGTGCACCAATGAACTTAGCATGCACACCATTCACACCCTTAGTAAGCAAATAGCAAGAATCAAACTTAATTGAGGATACATTAGTATTCTTGTTCTTGCTCTTGAAATATTGCTCTATATGCCCAACTTGCTTGTATCTATTGTAAAACCGACCATTTCCCTTCACAAAACTAGTCTTATGAGTGACAAAGGCTGTCTTCCCTTTCTTAGGGGTATAGCCTAATCCCTCTTTATTGAGAGAAAACCTTTGGCTACCCAAGCACTTTAGCAAGCGGGCATCTCCACCATAGGCATTGCCTAAGGCATGAGTGGGCTCATTGACCTCCTTGAGGGTCTCATTCTCAACCATTAGTGAGGAATCACAAGTGAGACCATCACTCAAAGGTGAAGTAGAAGTGGAAGTGCTACAAGAGGGGTTAGTAGGAGCCACAATGATAGGTTCAAGAAAGATTCATTAATTAGATCACAAGTAGAACCCACATCACATGTTAGAACAACCTCCTTCTTGCCTTGATCAAGGAGGGAGGAGTGAGCTTTTTCAAGCTTTGTGTGAGCCTTGCCAAGCTCCTTATGGTCTTCCTTTAGACTCTCATGAGAAGCATTGAGCTCATCAAAGGATTGCTTGAGAGCTTTGAGCTCTTTCCGCAACTCTTTGCACTCCTTCCTCTTCATCTCAAGACAATTATGAGCTTGTTCTAGCATGTCCATGAGGTCTACCTCCTCATCACTATCACTATCACTCTCATCCATTTGTACCTTAGTGGACTTAGCCATGAATCATGATGGAGTGTCGAAGAGAGAAGGTTTGTTGTTGATAGCAATGCTTGCAAGTGCCTTCTTCTTGGACTTCTTGTCATCATCACTAGAGTCACTATCCTTCGATGACCCATCACTATCTCATGTCACCACATAGCCTCCACCATTCTTCTTTTGGAATGTCATCTTCTTCTCTTTCTTTTCTTTCTTTTCTTTCTTCTCCTTTTCCTTCTTCTTCTCATCCACATCATTGTCACTATTGTAGGGACAATCCGCTACAACATGATCCTTGCTCTTGCAATTGTAGCATCTTCTCACATAATCTTTGCTCTTGTTGTTGTCTCTTCTCTTCCTAGCACCATAGCCCTTCTTCTTCATGAACTTGCCAAACTTATACACAAAGAGAGACATGGCTTCATCATCAATGTCACTAGCATCTTCATCCTCACTTGATTCTTCTTTCTTGGACTTGCCCTTGTTCTTGGATGATGAACTAGCCTTGAATGCTACACTCTTCTTTTTCTTGTCCTCATTCTTCTTCTCATCTTGATCAACCCATTTCCTTTCCACACGGTATGTCTTTTGTGTCATGACATCACCTAGTATTTGGTTAGGGGTTATATCCTTCAATCCTCCTCTTATGATGATTAATCTCAATGTCTCAAATCTTGGAGGTAAGCACACCAAAAACCAATGAGAGACATCATCATCATTGATCTTCTCACCCACAGCCTTCAAGTCATTGATTATCACTTGCAATCTATGGAACATCTCTAGAATGCTCTCATCATCATTCATTTTGAAGCTTGACAACTTGTCCTTGAGAATGTATAGCCTGGCACTCTTGACCGCCGGTGTGCCCTCATATGTCTCTTTCAACCTTTTTCACACTTCACTTACTCTATCAAGATCCTTGATTTGCTCAAACACATTTGAATCAATGGCATTGTAGATGGTGTTGAGTGCCATTGTGTTGCATTGCTTGTTCTCTAACTCTCTTGGGGTAGGATTGGTGGGATCAAGAATCACATAATCATTTTAGGTCACATCCCACACCTTGTCATTGATTGAACCCAAATACATCCTCATGTTTCTCTTCCAATATTCATAGCATGTACCATCAAAGTGTGGTGGTTTGCCCCCAACATGGTTGAACACTATTTGAGCCATCTTTTGACACCGAGGTTGTTAAGCCTTCAATCAAATGGTGACCATGGCTCTGATACCACTTGAAGGTCCAAAATGGCTAGAGGGGGGTGAATAGCCTATAAAATTCTCTACAAATCATTACAGCAATTGGTTAGTACACTAAGTGGTAAAATATAATTTTGCTCTAGCTCTACAAGGGTTGCAAGCCACCTATCCCAACAATTCTAGTTGCCATGATCACTAGACACACAAGAGCTAAGTCACTACTCACTAAGAGCTCTCAACAAAGCTACACTAAAGAGCTCCACTAGGTGAAACTAAACTAGCAAGCAAGCTCTCAAAACTAGCTACACTAAAGAGCTTGCTAAACAACTAGTTTGCAAAGAAAGTAAGGGAGTGAGTAGGGTGATTATACCACCATATCGTGGAATGAACCAATCACAATATGAATACCAATCAATCACCGAGAGAATTCCAATCACAATGGACACCAAGATTTTTCTCTCGAGGTTCACGTGCTTGCCGGCACACTAGTCCCCATTGTGTCGACCAACACTTAGTGGTTCGGCGGCTAATAGGTATCACACACCTAGCCCACCATAAGGGTGCCGCAAGAACCTACCACAAGTGAGGTAACTCAATGACACGAGAAATCCACTAGAGTTACCTTTCGACTCTCCACCGGGAAGGTACAAGACCCCTCACAAATCATCGGGAGATGGCCATGAACAATCACCAACTTGTGCCGATGCTCCTCTGCTGCTCCAAGCCGTCTAGGTGGCGGCAACCACCAAGAGTAACAAGAAATCCAGCAGGCCACAACGATCCCCAAGTGCCACTAGATGCAATCACTCAAGCAAATGCACTAGGAATCACTCCCAATCTCACAAAGATGATAAATCAATGATGGAGATGAGTGGGAGGTGTTTGCTTAAGCTCACAAGGATGTTTCACTGATCAAAATGTGCAAGAGAGTGAGCCAAAGCCGAGCCAAGTCTATTTATAGAGCCCTCAAGGCTCCACTAGCCGTTATGCCTTGGGGAGGGCTGTCGGACTGTCCGACGCAGGGTCCGACGCACCATCGGGCCACTCCAGTGCTGCCACGTGTCCTAGTTGAAATTAAACGATCGTTACGCGCCAACGGTCCTCTGCCATGTCCTCAACGCCGTCGTCGGACCGATCCTCGGACCCACCATTGGACCACACACAGGGCGAGTCCGACGCGGTCTAAAGAGCTCCAGAGACGCAAAACACGTCGGACGCCGGTCCGACGCCCCTCGTTGACCCAGGGGCGGTCCGATGGTCCTACGTGTCACGCCCACGCTCGCCTTGCTTGAAATGAACAATGCTAGCATATAGTCTGACGCCACCGATCAACTGGGTCCAATGCTACCACGCCCAAACCCTCTCTCTCGGGCAGACCATCGGACTTCGGCCAGCCAGGGTTTGATGCCCTCTGAGCCTAGGTCCGATGCTCCGGTCACTTCCCCTTTTCTTTTTCTAACACTTCAACATCTTCACCCTTGCTTCCAAGTTGCTAACCACAAAGTGTAGAACTGGTGTACACGTGTGTTAGCATTTTTCAAAGCATTTTTCAAGGGTTAATTGTTAGCACACTAGGTCCCTAATGCATATACAAGAATCATGTCACCTATAGTGGCACTCGATAATCGCTTAGCCAAAGATTTTCCCTCTTTATAGTACGGCTATCGATCCTAAATCACTCACACCCTCTATGGTGTCTTAAGAGCAAACCAAAAATGGCTCCTAATATTATACCTTTGCCTTGAGCCCATTTTTGTTTTTCTCTTTCTTCTTTTTCAAAGTGAAGCACTTGATCATCTCTTTTGTGGCCATCACCTTCACCATGACCATCATCTAGCTCCACCACTTGGATTGGACTACCTTATCTAATTCACATACTTAGATCAAAGGTTAGTCCTAGGTTTCATCAATTATCCAAAACCAAACAAGGGCTTTCACCACTGCTCCACCGAAGCTCCCACCAGTGCTCTCGTGGCCATTGCTCTGCCGCAGCTCCTGCCCATGCTCTCGCGGCCACATGTTTTTGGCGAAGGGAAGGGCCACATGTTAGCATGAGAGACATGCATATGTGAGTGATCCAACTATTTGTAAGTGCAAGGAAGTTATGAGAGCTGAAGAATGCAACCCGGAATGTTGCCCTCAACTGAAGTCTTAGATGGTGCTATGCGGAGAGGAATCTGAAGGTGGAGGTGTTCTTTGTAATAAGGAATATTGTGTCCACTTTATTCAAGAAGAGAGCTATTTATAGTGCCAAAATTACAATTGGCACACCAAAATACCCCTACCGTATGGTTAGAGGGTTATTTAGACGGTTTTCAATAGTTTAAGGTGTAGAATACCTTATTTTATAAGTGAGTGGATAAGTGACAACCACCAATAATTCGTGAGGTTAAGTAGACTTTTTCCGAATAAATTTTTGTCCAATCACGTATCATCTCTCCCGTATCATTAACCTGTCCCATCTCTTTATATCTTTGTTTCCGTGTTGACATGGGTTTCTTGTCTAAGAAATCATTTTCTCATCTTTTTTGTTTAGTTACAATGCCACATCACCATTTTACTTAGTTGCCACCATAATAATGAATATAGAAACAATCTAATTTCTAGGTTGAGAGTGGCCTTATAGCTATTCACACCACATCGCTATGGATAGAAAAATAGGTGTACCATTATCTGATTAAAGATAACATGTGCAAGACATCACAAGTGCTTTTTACTTTTACTTATGCCAATTAAGCATCACAAGCTGGTAGCCCCCGCATAGAAATTATCAGTAATCCATACGTCATTGACGAGAGAACATTATTATCTGTTGATACATCCGACATTTCTTTTGACGATAAATCGTGACATTTCATTATGTTTTTTTAATAGATCCTGAAGTGGTCGAGGTGGCCTTTTCGTCCATCGAGTTTGGCCGAGAAGAAGCGCTTCATGAATTCCGCGTAGCCAACTGATTTGTACCGTGCTCCGCCGCCGCCTTTCTTCACCAGCTCCGGCAGAGGTTCCACAGTTATGCTACCGCGCGGCTGATGGAACATCGCCGCTGAGATGCGCTCTTTGTCCGGGTGCACCACGGCTCTGTGCTCAACGCTTCTGTACTTCCCGTTGCTTAGAATCTGCGAGTAGCAGTAACTCACGAGTCAGCAAGAAGTAATTGTTACTATACTCCTAATCACAATCTTTTGCAATGTTTGTTCGCTTGAAAATTATTGTTCGTTCACTAAAAAATACTGCTGAAGTAGTACAGCAAGCCAATGCATCATACAGTATAAGGTTTATTTTTTGATGTATTCAAGAGTGCCACATCATCTAGAGTGCTTTAAGTCGATGAAAACACCAACCTCTAGTGTATAGTTTTATTTTATTGTTCCATAGGTAGGCTATAGAAATTAATTGCAATGCACATGATTGGACTCAAACAGAAGAAATAAAAGCGTTTAGTCCAATGCTTGTTTTTTGTTTAAGTTTTGAAGTCTTGGAAACAATGTATACCTAATTTCATATTAGTTTCATCTTCCATCTAGATGAAACTACTCTTTGCCCTCACTCTTTTTTCCCTTATGTGACATATTGTGAGTGAAACCCCAATTATAGTAAGAATAAGGCGCGCCTTTGGATTTATGATATCTAATTCTAATGGCTTGGATTAAACCATAAAGTCAATGTCTTATTTAGTTAATAAATAGTCAGACTAATAAATTAAGAAAAATAGCAATTTGAACTATGAAAAATAATAGTATGATCCGCAAACAAATTGAAAATAAGATACTGAATGAAATACCCATATAAATTATATTAGTAAATAGCTATATTCAAAATTGAATATTACTAAAATAAATAATAGTTTGATTTCCCTATGCTGAAAACACATAAATAAAAGTTGGTGTTTTACAATAAGTAAAGTTTAAAAAAGTCATCTCCCTCACTCTTAAGGTTTAAAAACTGCGGCATTGATTATATTGATCAAGATTATAATGGTGTAAAACTATCCAAGATATAGAAAAAAGATCCAATACAAATGGAACAAATATGAAAAGACATAATAGCATAGAGAACTCAATTAGAGTTTGTGTTGATGAATACAACCAGGAGTCCAACATGAACGGAAAGAGGACAACTACAAAATAATCAAATAAATAAAAGTATTTAAAAAAATTTCAAGTAAAAAACTCAGAAGTTAGAATAAAAATAGTAACTACTATCCACAAAAGAATACAATTCTCGGATTTCAAAAAGTCAAACAACCTGAGTTTTGACTAAATTTATATAAAAAAGGTACATGCATTTATGATACAAAATAAGTGTCATTAGATTAGTTATAGAATATATTTTCATAATAAATTTATCTAGAGACATAAATGTTAATACTATTTACTATAAATTTGGTTAAACTTAGACCTTGATTTACCGGCACGGATACCATAATTGTATTCTTTTAGAGGCGGAGTGAGTACCAAGAATGTCTCCGTGGGCACTTTGCTAGTTTACTCCTTCCTCTATAAGGCGCACATGCATATCAAGATTGAAACTTAAAAAAAATCAATAAATTGGCTAACAATTTGGAACTATTATAATAACAAACTTTATACAGTAGATTTGTGATCAAATATACTATTCAATTACTATAAGTTCATAAATATAAACAATGTAATATAAAATAAATAAATAAAGTGTATTTGAGAGACGATGGGTCTTATACAAAAGAAAATGGAGGTAGTACTTACTAGAGGGAGTACAGAGTAGCAAGCACGCTAGTACCTCCCATTTATTTATTCTTGTTGCTTGAAATCGAAGAGATCTTCGACGCACGCTATTGACTATTACTTACTTTTTCTAAGCATATACTATAAATAAAGAATACTAGAATTATAAAAATCATATCAAAACATTTGTCACGATGAATATCCTAGGCGGCGGCGTTTGGCCTAAGACCTAAAGCTGAACAAATCTTTGATTCAGCCGAAACAGACAACAAAGCTGAAGTTTTTATACTTTCCTCGATGATGTCACCGACGCTGACAATGAGTGCGCCGTGGAGAGGTTCAACGGCGTGCCATTTGCCATCGTCCCTCCTGATTTGCAGGCCCTGCACGTCGTTGACGTGGAGAAGCAGCGTCACGGCGCAGGCGTCCGTGTGCGGCGACAGGCCGATCACCTTGTCGGCCTGCCGGCACGGTGGGTAGTACGTCATCTTCATGGTCTGCGGCTGACCGGCGAACATCTCCTGTAGGCGCTCCGGCTCCACGCCCATGTCCGCGGCCATGAACCGCAGTAGGCACGACACCACCTTCGCCGCCTCTGCCGAGTACCGATCCACGGAGGTCCTGCACGGACTCGGAAGCTCCAAAGTTACTAAAAACAGAGTGGGCTCGCCCGGCGGGCGGCGAACATCATGAGTTCGATTCGTTGCAACCTGAACGACGGAGGGTGGACGGGCCAGAACCTCATGTCCCGCGACTCGACGGGGCGGAGCATGAGGTACATCATGTCCGACCAGTCCAGCTTCTGAGCCTCGGAGAAGACGAAGACATGGCCGTAGCCCTCCAGGCCGTCTGGTAGCTGCGCGTACACCTTCTTGGCCTCGAGCGGCAGCCTGAAGAACTCGGCTATGTCTCGTTTGACATCCAGGATCACATCGTCCGGCACCCCGTGGTTGACGAGCTGCATGCCGATCTATCAGTGACGCCGACGACAACACCTACCGTTTGCATAGCAAGAAGTTCACACATGACGACACACTTGTATTCTCGTACCTGAAAGAAACCTTGCTGGCAGGCTGACCCGAGGTTTGCGAGCTCCTCCTGCGACGACCTCGGGTCGAGCAGCCTGCCGAGATCGACTACCGGGAGAGCGCAGCCGGCGACGACCACATCGGCGCTGGTCTCCTCCGTCCTGACATACCGTGCAGGCACCAGCTCGCCTGATTGGTTCCAAGTCTGCGAGAGAGCCTGCACGTTGGGAACCTGCAGATGCCCTCCGGCGGTTTTCGCGTGCGCCATGGATAGTGTTGGTTCCTCTTCTTCCTGCTGTAAACTTGTCTCACATGCACTGTATAATAAATCCTAGTCAGTCAAAGAAAGATAAGAAAAGGCACATTTGTGTGGGTCAATCACGCTAGACGCTATAATAAATGATCTATGTGTAAAGACCGCCATCTTATTTCCCCTAGACTAGAGATTGGGCACCTGCACTGCAGATGCCATCCAGTTTCCCTGAACTAGTAGCATGCTCTTAACAGCAGAGGAAGGGGAATCGGAAAAATCAGAGTAGGCAGGGGAAAGCAGAGCAGAGGCGAGGAAGGACGAGTTCTTAGTTCATAGGAGAGTTTGTTACAATAATGTTCACTAGTCCATGACGCGCGCGCGTCGACAAATCACCTGGTTAAGGCACAGGCAAAAAATATGTTTAATTTTTGCATGAAAATAATCTTAGGAGTTTAATGTAGATGATTGTTGGTTCAAACTAAAAGGTTGGGATGATGAACATACCATGATAGACGATTTCTACTCCAGCGCTGCAAGTACAAACACTGAAAATTAGCAGGAGGCGGTTCCTGTGCTTTCAATTTGGACTATATAAACCACTAACCAACATAAACAATATATGAGAAAATATATTAATTTAGACTATCTTAGATTATTATATATGGAACCTGCAGTAGCAAACTCTTGGAAGAAGCATATGAAGCTAGGCAAAAAGGCACGGGAATTACATAGTGTAGTAAAGGAATGGCATACTAAGCAATAGCTACAATAAACCCCATCAAGTTTGCATTAGTTTAAAAAAAGCAAGCGTGAATGTGAAGCCAATAACGAAAGGCAAGATTGAGAATCAATAAAACCACGAAAGATGTACTTCATTAGGTGTGGTGTACACGACATCTTAGATGTCCAAATTTGTTAAAAAAACTTAAATGATAGATGTGTCGATTAGCTGACCTCTATCTAATGGTATATACATGAACCTAAAAGCTGTATCTGGTGGTTGCTTGTACCAATTAGCTGATCCCCAAAACAAAAAAGCCAAGCTGCTGGGAAATGTTGGCAAATCAAATATACATGAGCACCTTAAGACCCATACCTTCTGTTCTGTCAATTCATCAATTTAACTTCTGGTGTGGCTGAAATATGCTTCCAACTGATAATTTTGGCCTGAATATACAAGCACAATATAGTGATCAGGTCATGTAATAACGTTTACCTCACAGATATGATTGTAGTAATGTGATAGTGATATGGTAGCAGTGTAAAAAAAGGAACATATCAGACCGAAGGTTGACTAAGAATGAACGACAAGGACATCTAACATGTACCAAATAAACATGGTCACCCATAGTAATTAGGAAGGGGCGTTCTAACAGATTGAAGGCTGATATGAACCGTACAAATAGCATGGTTAGATCTGAAAAGAACCTGCGTGTACCAGAGAAAGCAACAACAATTGGCAAATGGAAAACCTACCTGCATACGATGAATCACTGAACATGTACGGAAAACAGCCTCACATGGAATTGAAGCATCACAGCCAAATCTAATCACAGGAACTCTTATTGCTGCTCCTATACGGACAGGGGAAAAAATAGAAAATTAAAGGGCCATGTGGAGGACGAGAAACCGTGACCAGAGCCTGTGTACTGCCCATCCTTCATTCTATGATAACAAACACAAAGATGCGGTTCAGAAGAAGACGTAAAGTTTGTTTGCAGGTGGTTTTTATCGTTGCGGACTGTAAACTTGCTGTTAAAAAAAGAGAGGGTGAACTGTACCGTGAAATCATATGGGTCTATGCTATTGAGCTCAGCGAGGTGTCTGTGCTGGAGTGGAGTACAGCAGCCTGCATCAGTTTAGCAGGTGCTTGTTCAGACGTCGGAGGCCATTCTATGTAAACAAGCTTGTCTTTGAACCTGTTTCATGAGGGCCTGATAGCTAAATAAATATGGATCTCATAGTGTGTGGCTGATGGTGTCAAAGTGACTATGTGAATTTAGCAAAACGTATACTCATACGGTATACTCGTGTGGTACCTTGGGGGTTGATCAGTGTGGGTTAATCGCATGATGTGTATGTGATACTTGGAATAGAATGGGTGTGGGGATCGGGCGGCTGAAACATTTCGGGGTGACATTGCGGCTTATCCGATAAGCTGCTGCACTTTGTACAGTCTGGCAGTGTCTCCTGCACCACACACTTCCAGCAGCCCATCACGCTCAACCACAACAGACATAGCCTCTTCAGACAGAATGGCCTACACAGTTAGCTGAACCTTTCCTATAAAGGAGTAGAACGTCAGAGAAAGGGCTGCTTAGGTGTGGTATCTTTATGATGATATGGTAAATGATGTATGAAATTCTTGAAAGATTGATACCTAAACCAAATAAAACTCGTAATTAAAGTGACATATTCAAAATATACTATTTGGTAATAACCACAAATAAAAGAGGAGAACATGCACAAAAGATCACCGGTCAACCATACTCTAGTATGGTTAGCAAACCTATTTTAAGTAAAGGACAAAATTAAAGTTGATCAGATTGCTAGAATTTTAAACTGCAGAGTATGTTGTGACCCTTGAAAAGAACCAATATCTAATCAGTCTTGTTTAGCACTAAACAGATAGGTTTCAGGTAATCGCTTTATTAAGGCAAATTCACCGATGATTAAAAAAACAAAGAAGTATTGGTATCTTAAGAACAGTCAACCATATCCAAAAACAGAAAGTAATCGGTGCAAAGTAACATGCTGAAACAAAACACTTGCTATTTTTTTTCTCAATCAAACGTCACACAAGGTAGACTTTATTAGGCTTAGCTGATACATACTAAAATGGATGTCCTCCACAAGATACTACAATGATGTGTTTCATGGTCAGTTTAACCTCATTTAGCAAGAACTGTATGACTCCATGATAGGAGTAGCTGCTGTGATCTGAATATGACATTACATCCATCTCTTTTTGTTTTTAGGATATATTGGTACTTAATAGAAACTACCAATGCATCCCTAAAAGTTGATCAAATAAGACAAAGGAACTCATTGAAAGGAAATAATCGAGGTATGCAGGCTATAATCTCACTCGAGATATGGGTATAAATATAAGTAAAAAACATCTAATTTTCTTCGTTTTATTAGACTCGCCAAAGTACCTTATTCTAACATGAATCGAACATGCATATAAAATCTAAGACAACGCACACCTTCTCGAGGGCAAAATCAAATCGATCTTCGGCATCGGTTAAAGAACATAGCTAATGCATGGCAAATCACTGGGTGGTTCTTTTGCTGCTGCTGCTACTGCTCATTGTGTCTTTGACTCAGTGTCCATCGCCTCCATCCTTAACCGTGGGGAAGAGACGAGGACAGGCATCTAGGGTTTCGTGAGTAGTGGAGGAGACGTGGACAGGCAGGAGCAAGCCGCATCGGGAGGAACCCGCAGCTGCGGCCGGCGGCGGTGCCTGCTGGAACCACGGCGTGGCCGGGTACGGCCTCCGTCGGGCCCGCCACGCGGCGCCGCCACGCACGAAAGCAGCGGCATCGTCGCCTAGGCAACGCGCCGCGCGGTGAGGCAGCGACACTGGGTCCCGACAGGCACGCCGCGATGCCGAGGGAGAGGGAGAGAGGAAGGGAAGACAGGGGCATGAGCAGCGGAGGAGAAGGAGGAGAGCGGCCGCCGCCGCCAAGACCAGCGCGCCGATTACCCGTCGGCAATGGTCGGTCTGCGAGTCTGGCGTCGGGTGGGAGAGGGAGGAGGGGGCGTTTTTTTGTGTGTGAGAAGCATCGGGAAGGAGAAGCAGGAGCCGGGTTTATATTTGGCTGACCGGATTCGGATGAGAAGCTAGGGAAGTTAGAGAAAAACAGTGGAGAAACCGGTGAAGCTACACACAAGAAGGAGAAGCTGCTCTAACAAAATCCGGTGATAACAATCCTGGCCATCGAGAGGGGAGATCGAACGGATGAATTTTTTTTGATGGCGTGGATGCGGTTTCTATCGGCCAAAGTCTCCTGCTTTGATATATAGAAATACCCCTAGCTAAGGCTTTGCTCATATACAAGTCTCACACAAACACGCTACCAAGCTAGATGATGCTGCACGGGTTCTTCCACTCTAGGCCGTAGATAAGCGGGTTCGGTACCTTGGGCCGAAGACGCCTTGCTTCCTGATTGGCTTCTGTTGTCGGGCACGCAGCTGTCATGCCTGGTACTGGGCCTGGGCCGGTAGCTGGTGCAGCATCAGAGGTAGTAACACCTCCCTCCCCTTGCGCGCCTAGATCATTCCAAAGGCTGGCGCAAGGAAACTGCTGTCTGAGGTGCTCCAAATCTTCCCATGTAGCCAGGAATATTAGACCATTGAATTAAGCCCTGATGAACCCAGACGTGCACCTTGCTGAATCTGTCGATGCTCAAGGACGTGTTCCGGAATGCTCTAGAGAATGGAAGCAGACGGTGGCGCTGGTGTAACTTCATGGCAAGCACCCACGGCCTTCTTGAGCTATGAAACACAGGACCAAAAAACTTGAAAGCGAGTTTCTGACTGCTGTGATCAGCTATGGAAGATTGGACATAAGGCTGCAGTTTCAGAAACACCCAATCATTGATCTCAAAGTGAGGCTCAGATCACTTGGTGTCAGCTTGTTTCTTCATCTGTTGTTTGGCGTGAAGCAAGTGCTGACGCACAACAGCAGACATGAGAGACCGGTCACGAAGCCAGCTAGAAATGTCAGTAATTGGTATCTCGTCAGCTGAACTGATGTCAAAGTGAGTCGGAGAATAGCCATATAGGACCTCAAAGGGTGAACATCCATGAGCAGAATGCAAGCTGGTGTTATACTTATACCAAAACTCTGCAAGATCCAACCATTGATGTCATTGTCGAGGGCAAGCGTGGACAAAACAGCGTAGAAAGGTCTTCAAGCATTGATTTACCCGCTCTGTCTGACCATCGGACTGTGGGTGATATACGGTGCTCATGCGCAACTTGACCTTGGCCAAAGCAAACAATGTGG